CGGGACACCTTCTATCGCTTCTGGCTTTAGGCGACGACGCCTTTGAGGACCACTGGGTCATGGCATCATCTCATTCAATCCTCCTAACGACCCCACGGCATTCTGCGATGGACGTCTTCACTGAGGGAACCACTGAGCACCTGAACTGCCCCCATGTTTCAGGATGTCCCCATTGTGTGAGACTTGGTAAGAGCCTGGGCTTCACTCTCCATAAGATGCTTAAGAGGCCAGGGGCACCTGGGGGGCTCATCAGTGAAGCGTCCGACTCTTGGTTTCAGCTCCAGTCATGATCTCACAGTTCATGAGTTCCAGCCCTGCACTGGGCTCCACGCTGATGGCTCAGAGTCTGCTTGGGATTCTCTCTCTCCCCCTCTCTCTCTCTGCCCCCCGCCCCCGCTCACACTCTCTGTCTCTCTCAAAATTAAAAAAAAAAAAAAAAAAAAATTTAAAAAATATTAAAAATAAATGATTTTTTTTTAAATTTTTTTTTCAACATTTATTTATTTTTGCGACAGAGAGAGACAGAGCATGAACGGGGGAGGGGCAGAGAGAGAGGGAGACACAGAATCGGAAACAGGCTCCAGGCTCTGAGCCATCAGCCCAGAGCCCGACGCGGGGCTCGAACTCCCGGACCGCGAGATCGTGACCTGGCTGAAGTCGGACGCTTAACCGACTGTGCCACCCAGGCGCCCCTAAAAATAAATGATTTAAAAAAATTGTTTAAGCTTAAAAGGCCAGGTAAATATTTGACCCGCCCCCACACGGAGGACTGGGCACACACCTCAGGAACAGGTGACACACGGATACAAGATCGGGTCAGAATTCACTCTGCTGGGACCTCCAGTACTATCCAGCATGCACTGCCAATGGCCGCGGTGACTGGACCACGCCCTGGCTGCCCCTCCTTCCTGGTCGGAGCTCAAGCTGAGCCTGCATCCTTCCAGTAGAGATGTTCTCTGCTTAAGTTGCCAGAGATGTTTTCTGCAGGTTGTAATCAAGAACCTTGATGCCATCATCCCCATTTTCTGGCTGAGGAGCCAGGCTTAGAGTAGGGAGTTGACCGAGCACAGTACTACTGTGTGCCAGGCTGTGCTCAGTCCCAGTTCAGGGGGCTAGACATGTCAGGGGGCAGTTTCAGCAAAACGTGGTGAGGGGTATACAGAGGGCCACCGAAGGTGGAGCCCCTGGGGGTGGCAGGGAGGCTTCACAGAGTGGAGACTCAAAGGCGGAAGAAGGGGAAGAATTTTCTAGGTGTGGTGTGCACGGGGTAGGGTGCGTTATTCTGCAGCCTGGAGTGAATGGTTCAGGGGGACCGTGACAGGGGTGATGCGGGGGAAGGTGGAGGCCACTCAATGCCTTATTAATGAGTCTGGATTTTGGATCAGTCTTCCCAGTTACAAGCAACAGAAATAGATTTGGGCTAATTTTATCAGAAGAGGGACTTCTTTGAAGAATATCTGGTAACTCAGAGACCTGAAAGAAAAAAAAAAAAGAAAAAAGAAAACGGTTCACGAATTAGGTCTGGAAAAGAACAGGAACTGGGAGGTGCCAAGAGTCTAGGTAAATGAGAGCTTCTGGGGGCGCCTGGGTGGCGCAGTCGGTTGAGCGTCCGACTTCAGCCAGGTCACGATCTCGCGGTCCGGGAGTTCGAGCCCCGCGTCGGGCTCTGGGCTGACGGCTGGGAGCCTGGAGCCTGTTTCCGATTCTGTGTCTCCCTCTCTCTCTGCCCCTCCCCCGTTCATGCTCTGTCTCTCTCTGTCCCAAAAATAAATAAACGTTGAAAAAAAAAATTAAAAAAAAGAGCTTCTGGTTTGTCAGGCTGCCGCTGCTGGCATCAGTGAGCAATACTCCGGCAGCCTCGAATCAATCCACACAAGATTCAAAGCTCTTGGATACAGACACCGATTGGTCTAGCTTGGGCAGGCCAGGAACTCTTGATCTGTGATCCCATCAGGTCCGCACACTGTAGGGAAAAGTAGATCTCAAAGAAATATCGAAGGGTCATTTCCAAAAGAAGGAGAAATGAATACTGCACAATGAATACCCACCAGACTTGACTGAAAGATATTTTGAACAGGAGAATGGCACCTGTTTGGCTTTTAGGAAGACAGTGTGAAATCAGGGGTGAAGCTGAGCCTGACTGTAAATACGGGTCCAGTGGAAGAAAATTTAGGTGGCCTAGGAAAGTGATGGTGTGGTCATGAGCTAAGGCAATGAAGATGCCAGGGAATGCAGGAGAAACTGGAAACTGGAATCCTTAGGGTTTGGAGAGTGTTTGGATATAGAAGTGGAAGAGAGAAGGAGGGGCCGAGAAAAGTCTTGGTTTCTGGCTTAAGTGGATGGATGGATGGATGGATGGATGGATGGATGGATGGATGGATGGATGATGGAATCCCGAGAGCAAGATTGAAATACATGAGGAAGATACAAGGGAATGATGACACTAGGCAGAATTTGGGGGCGTGCTGTTTGATGTGCCCGTGGAGAGTCCAGTTGGACAAGCTTCGAGTTTAAGAAAGAGGCTAGTGATTCATCACCTAAAAGGGACAATTGAAGTTATGCACAGAAGTAAAATTGCCCAGGGAGACTGGGCAATGGCTGAGGGGGAAGAGCTTGAAGGAAACACTGCTGTTGAAGGGGTGGGCAGAAAAAAGAACCTGCAGAGAAATAGGTAGCAGGCTGGAAAGGATCAGGAGAGGCTCACATTCTAAAAAAAAAAAAAAAAGGAGTTCCAGGAGGGTGTGGCCAACACTGTTAAATGCTGCAGAGAAGGGGCTGAGGATCAGCACTGAAAAGTGTCCATCGGATTTGGCCATTGGAAGCTTCTTGAGAGAGTTGGTTAGAGCTCCTCCGGCCAAGTCGTTAGGACATTGGAGCCAGTCCATTGAGAGGGACAAGGAGAGGACAGTAAAGTCTTGCTTCTCCTGGGGCAAATACTGGCTGGGAGGAGAAGGAGAGAGATGGCAGTAGCTGGAAAGGAGCCCAGGGTCACGAGAATGTAGATGATGGGTGTGCAGAGGGCCCTTTATTACTTCTTTTCTTCAATACAGTGGATCATCCAAATCTCGACCCTGAGTTGCACAGGGGGAAATGTTTTTGAATGCCCAAAACGTGGCAAAACATGAATCATGATGACAGGGGATGAAATCAGTTATGTACTAGTGGAGTATGTCTATTTGTTATCAAACAGTGTAAACAGTCCAACTTTTTCGGGGTCAAAACAGAAATAAAGACAAAAATGGTAAAGATTTTTATGAGCATCTGTCCTTCCCTGTTGCTCTATCAGCCTAGTTCTGACGGGAGTCCGTGAATATTTCCAACTATTATCACTGCTTGGTTGACTTCTCCTAATTCTTTCAGTATTTTTTTTTTTAATCTGCATTGTCCACTATAGTAGTCAGTGGCCAGTAAGCACATGTGGCTGTTTGATTTTTAACAAATTAAAACGAAATCGAATTTAGAAACTCAATCCCAGGGTGCCTGGGTGGCTCAGTTGGTTGAGCATCTGACTCTTGATTTCAGCTCAGGTCGTGGCTCCAGGGTCATGGGATCAAGCCATGCATAGGGCTCCACACAGAGCACACAGCCTGCTTGAGATTCTCTCTCTCTCTCTCTCTCTCTCTCTCTCTCTCTCTCTCTCTCTCTCAAAAGTAAATAAACATTAAAAAATTAGAATAGTGGACACTGGAGAGGGAGAATGAGGGAATTTTCTGGGACAATGAAAATGTTTACATGTACAGAAGTGTAGGTTATCTGGATATATATGGTTATATGGGCATTTGTCAAAACTTGTTGAACCATACACTTCAGATTAGAGCATGTCTGGGAACAAGTCACAAAGAAGAAAGACAGATACTGTATGATCTCCCTTACATGTGAGATCTAAAAAAGCCAAATTCACAGAAACAGAGACTACAACGGTGGTTACCAGGGGCTGGGGGAGTGGGAGAGAGGAGACATTGGCCCGAGGGCACAAACTTCCAGTGATAAGTAAGTTCTGCAGATCCGCAGTATGGCACAGTGACTGGTGGTAATGACAATGAGGGAGGAAACTCACTCCAGGAAAGTTGAAATATGTGGAGAGATCTAACAAGATGAGAACCTAAAGATATCCTGAAGTTGCCGATATGGAGCTCGCTGGTAATCTGGTGAGAAGTTTCCGTGGAGAGGCAGGAAGAGAAGGCCGAGTTGCGGTTTAGAGCAAACGAGAGGTGAGAATTAGGAGAGACGGGGTGTAGATGATGTTTGAGATGCTTGGGGGAGAAAGGGTGCTGGGACAAAAGGTGGGAAAGTATAGGGTCGAGGGTTTTCTTTGCTTTGGTTTTAAACTGCCTTGTAAACAGTAGGTGCCAATGCTTTGTAAACAGTAGGTGCCAATAACATCGGTTAAATTCCATTTTCCAGTGCCTGCTGCCGAAGGCCAGGAACCCTGAGTCCTGACCCAATCTCCCCTTGTCCTGGTACACTTTCCTTTCCACACCAGGGCGGGCCTTGTGCTGCTATAGAAAGAGGAAAGATCGGGTTTTTCATTCCCCTCCACGGGTGACGAATCCCAAGCATCTTTCCCCCTAAGATGAATTCAAGTCCCAAACCTACCACTTCATCCCTGCGCGACGCTGGCCAAGTTACTTAACCTCCCTGGGCCTTGGCTGGCTTCCCCTTTCCCTCATCCCCAGGGCCAAGGTGTTTGGAGGTGGGGCCTGTAGGAGGGAGTCAGGTCATGAGGGTGGGGCCTCCATTATGGGATTTGTGTCCTTAGAAGAGACACAAGAGGGGCGCCCGGGTGGCTCAGTGAGTTAAACGTCTGACTTCAGCTCAGGTCATGATCTCACGGTCCCTGAGTTTTAGCCCCACGTCGGGCTCTGTGCTGACCGCTCAGAGCCTGGAGCCTGTTTCGGATTCTGTGTCTCCCTCTCTCTCTGCCCCTCCCCTGCTCACGCTCTGTGTGTGTCTCTCTCTCTCTCAAAAGTAAACATTAAAAAAAATTTTTTTAAAAGAAGAGAAGAGACACAAGAGAGGTGCCCTCTGTCTCCACCACAAGAAGATGGCTGTCTGCAAACCAGGAGGAGCCTTCACCAGATGTCAGACCTGGTGGCACCTTGAGCTTGGACTTCCGGGCCTCGAGAACTGTGAAAATCAAAGTCTATGATACTCCGTTATAGGGGCCCAGACCATTAACACGCCGGCAGTACACCAGGAGGCGCAATTTACTGACGTGAATAAATTGAATAAGGGGCAGGCCCGAGAGAGGGCGGGACAAAAGGCACCCGGTTCCTGGAGGACCCAGAAACAGTCGGCCACAGCAGGCGTTTCCAGGCCCGGTGCCCATCCCCCACCCTGGCCAGCAGCCAGGCCCCGGCTCAGAGCGGGGACGCATCTTGGTTCAAGGCCGTGTTTCTCTGAGCGTCCCTCTGTTCCCATCACTTCACATCGTTGTCTCTGACACTTGCACCGGGCGGTTATCACTATCCCCAGTCTGCAGGTCAGGAACAGAAGCTCAGAGGGGCTACTGCTCAGGAGTGCCCAGCCCGGAAGCAATTGGGGGGGGGGGGCGGGGGGGGGGGGGGGGAGTGACTGGCCTTCAGCCTGCTGCCGGCCAGGTCCTGCCCTTCCTGTGGCTGCACTGCGGTCCAGGCTCCTGGGGTTTCCTCATTACAGAGGAGCGCCAGCCTCGATCTCTTGTTTCCAGCCCTTTCCTGTCCCTTAGAGGAAAGATGCTAGCTCACAGAGAAAGAATTTTTATTTTACAGCTGCCTCTCCTTTCTTTAGACTCCAGCCAGTCCTGGGTGCAGTGAGATCTGAACGGCCAGGTCCTACCGGCTCCCCACGGCTCGAGCTCCTCCTTCAGACTGAGGGTCTTGGGTGGGGGGTCTGCTGGGATGGCTGAGCCCCGAACTCTGGAGGACAGAACAGGAAAATGAAGACGTGAGGACACCCGCTAGCTCAGTGTCCTAAATCGGAGGTCCCGAACAGTATTCCCGGGGCCTCCCCGCCCCCCCCCGCCCCGCACCTGGGATCGGATGCCAACGTGTTCTGCCACCGACCACGCAGCACATGGCTTGAAAGCAGGGTGCTGGGCCCAGGCCAACATTTGCCTTTTCCTACACGTCTCGGCAAAGCTGCTCAAAACCCTCTCTTCCCCCAGCAGGAAAAGCATATGTTCTTTCCATATAGAGGAGAAATTGTTCCACGAGTGAGTAAGTCTCTTGGCCGCGGAGCCCGGCCCAGCCCGCAGCACGCCGGGCAGGAAGCGGGCAGCGTTCTTACCACCCTTGGAACCAGACCGGGCTGGATCCTCACCCTGGAAGACAGCGGGCCTTTGGACGGGGCCGGGGGTGGTGGGGAGGGGGGGCTGGGCGAGTGCCCGAAGACAGCTAGCCGGCCAGGGCAGGGCAGAGAATCCTTTCCCTGAATAGAAGCGCTTTTCTCCATTCAGGCCGGGCGGGCGAAGGAGGGAGGGAAGGCCGAGGGGTGTGAGAGGCGAAAGAGACCTTTCCAATCCCCTCACCCCAGCAGCAAATGGGCCTGAGTCAGAGGTGACTCAGGTACGTGCAGTGAGACGGGGCCATTTTTAGACCGTCATTTCCAGCCACCCCCAAATTCTCCTCGATGCCTCGGGGTTGGGTGGCAAAAAGGGACCCCATCCTCAGTGCCTCAGTTCATTCTGCCGGATCCGTGTGAACATACAGGTCTTCTCCAAGCCAGCCCCGGGCCGGAGGATGCTGCTTGCACCCTTGTCTCAGGGAGTCCTGGTTCCCTTCCCACCCTTTCACCACTTGCTAAGAATCGCTGACTAGGGGGTTGCGGGGAGTGGGCAGGGAAGGGGCAGGGAAGGGACATACAGGCCGTGCGATGGGCAGGTGGTGGGACAGGGGAAATGGGAGGGGCCCCACAGAGAGGGGAAAACGCTGATGACATTGGGGCATCTAACCTGGAAAGTCAAAGACTCGGGGTAGGGGCGCCTGGCTGGCTCCGTGGGTTGAGTGTCCAACTCTTGGTTTCAGCTCAGATTATGATCTCACAGTTTTTGAGTTCGAGCCCCACTTCAGGTTCTGCACTGACGGCGTGGATCCTGCTTGGGATTCTCTCTCTCTGCCCCTCCCCTGCCTTCACTCACATTCTCTCTCTCTCTCTCTCTCTCTCTCTCTCTCTCTCTCTCTCAAATAACTAAGCTTAAAAGACTCAGGGTAGTAGAAGTGAGAGACATGAAAATGTTGTAAAGGTAGGAGACAGGTCATCCCGTAGAAGTGGGGTTGGATTTATCCTGGGTGGGAACTTCGATGGGGCAAGCCCTGAGCATATAAATCGGGGCCCCAACCCACTGAGGAGTGCTTTCAAGGCAGCGCATTCTCGGGGCACCTGGGTGGCTCAGTCGCTTACGCATCCGACTTTCGCTCAGGTTGTGATTTCACAGTTTGTGAGTTCGAGCCCTGCACCAACCTCTCTGCTGTCAGCACGGAGCCCTCTTTGGATCCTCTGTTCCCCCCTCCCCAAGCCCCACTCTCTGCGTCTCCCCTGCTCACTCTCTTTCTCTCAAAAATAAATAAATGAACACTGGTGTTCATTTAGGTCTCACACTGGTGGCCTGGGGGCCAGACACAGCCCTGAAGATGTTTCCACCGGTCAGCATTTCTGCACGGCCACCATCAGCTGAGTCCACACAGTCAACGCACGGCCGTGCTGCAGGGCACGTCAGGCCTGAGTCCCTCCTTTGTTTCCTGGACTGGTCCCTTAGGCGTTTACGCCTGGGAGCTTTGGAGCACCTGCCCACACTCTCCCTTCTTCTCCTCTAGCTCACCCTGTAGGCCCACCTGGGGCGGGAGGAGACGGGCTCAGGTGAGACCACATGTCCTGAGCTGCCCTGGCCCGGACGCCAGGTAGAGCGCTCACCTGGCGAGAGACCAGCACCCCTGCAAACTCCCCCTCCCTCTCCTGGAGCTCTCATTATGCTGGGCTCTATCATGGTCTCTGGGGACTGGACGGCAGCTTCACTCACCTGACCATCCTGCCCTGGAGCAGAGACGGTTCCCCAGGGTGTTTAGGGTCTGGGAAGGGCACCCGGGGGCAGATGCACCGTGAGCTGAGATAGAAGGGACAAAGTAAGAACGGGCACGCCCGACCCCCGGTCCAGGAGGGCAGCGCTAGGGGATGATGCCAGCGGCAGTGGGTCTGAAGGAAGCTGGGGCAGGGCCGGGGAGTGGAAACTAGCCGGGGGGGGGGGGGGGGGTAAAGTGGGGCGGCTAAAGGGCTCAGGAAGGAGGGGGCAGAAGGCAAGGCCCAGCTCCACCTTCTGCCTGTGTGTCCGGGGTGGACCCTGACTTGTACCTGCCGGAACCAAGGGCAGAAGGGCAGGCGGCAGTGGCCTCGCTGGGCGACGAGATTCCACCCGAAGCCTGTGTAGGCTGCGGCAGATTGCAGGGCGGTTTCACTTCCCCGGCCCTATCTGCTTCCGCGGATAGCTACGGGCGTTGGGACTAACATACCCATTTTACAGATGAGGAGACGGAGGCGAAGTTGTGCGAGAAAGACTCTAGCCCCCGGGTAAGAGCAGGGCTCCTGCTTTCACCAGCTCTGCTTTCTGAGTTGCTTGTCCAGGCCACTGGGAGCGGACGACACAACTCCTCGCAAAGCAGCCACGCAGCAAGCATTAGCTCCTCCTCCTCCACGTTTCACAGCCTCATCGAATGACACTGACATCTGCAGGCAAGAACTCCAGCTGTGCTGGGACCCAGGTAGGTCGGGAGTTCAGAGGCGGGCCTTTATTTTACTCCTCACCCCGCTCCGGCCTGGTGCTGGGTACCCTGCGAATGAGGTTTCAACCCCCTTCTTGGCCCACCTGGTGGGACGGCTGCTCTCTCAGGGGTGAGACCCGCAAGCCAAGTCAGCCTGACTCTGAAGCTGGTGCTCTCTGGAGGACCACCTCAGAGTCTCCCGTGTGACTGTGTCGCTCCCCCCGGGGATCTGGCTGTACGGAAGATGGGGGCTCCTGAGTGGGGCCAGAGCCCAAGGCACACGCCCCCTCTGGGGTCCTGACCCTCCCCTCGGCGTCAGCCTGGGAGGTAGGGTGGGCACCTCCCCACGGGGGGCATCCTAGCACCACAGCCGGAAGCGGGAAGCTGGGTACGGATTTCCCTGGGGAGTGCGTGCACCGCTCTGGGAGTCCTGGTTCACCCCTCCTTCCAAGGAGGCCTGAAGGCGTGGAAGGGACCTTGACCTGGGAGTCCGAGAGCCCAGGCTCACCTTCTAGGCCAGGCTGCTTCACCGTCCCAGCCCCTCTCTGAGCCTCAGCTCAGGGGCTAAGTGAGGACGGCCTAGAGGGTCACCGTTGCAGCCCCCTAACCATTTTTAAAGACAGCCCCTCACACTTCTTGCCTAAGTGTTCCTCCAGCCGGTTCTGCCTTCGAGGCCTCCGGCCCAGCGGATGGCCCAAGGGCACCACCTGCTGGCCAGTCTCAGCCAGGCAAGGCGGCCGCACCCGGCTGCTTTGAAGGCTCCCCCAGATCATCCCAGCAGAGGGCCCGGTCACAGCCCTGGAAGTCAGGTGGGCACCAGGGCAGGAGAGAGCGCAAGCTGCACCTCCCCGCATTCCCAGACGGGGGAGGGAGTCCTCCAGGTCTCCAGAAGTCCACGTGCGAGTGGGGGGCGCTGCCATTATGAGGCAGTCGGGCCTGGATTTGAGTCCCTTGTGTCCTTGACCTTACCTGAAGTCCCTCATCTGTGGGGTGGGGCCATTTGGGACACATTTCTCAGGGCTGTGGGCCTCTCTCTGCATGAGCTGGCAGCCAGAGGGGATGGCAGGGGTCCAGCCTGGTGGCACCCGGACCGTAGGCCAGTGGCTCTCAGCTGCGGCCGCACGTTCAATCACCTGATGCTTAGCGGTGGCTTTCACAGCGTGGTCCTGGGCCGCCAGCATCAGTGAGGAACTTGTTAGGAATGCAGATTCTGGGGCCCCACCCCAGTCTGGCTGAGTTGGATAGTCTGGGGGTGGGGTCCGGCACCCTCCAGGTGATGCCGATGCTTGGTCAAGTGTGAGAACACGGTGCTTAGGGACTGGGGTTGCTTAAAAAGCATCTCAGGTGCCTGAAGTGTCCTCGGCGCCAGGATCACCTGCCCCCCTCCCCCCAGGGTAATTTCGGTTTGGAGGGACCCCGCCATGGACTAAAAGCACCAACTCTGCATCTGCTGCTTCCGATGAGCAGTGACTGCTCTGGTGTGCACCCTCCTCCCCACACGCCATGCACGCCCTTCCGTCAGAGGTCAGGGACCCACAGCAGAGTGCAGTTGCTCTCTCTGGGGTCTCCCAAGACAATAACCCCCAGTTACTGACGTTTGCTGGGTGCTCAAGCTATGACAGGCGTGGTGCTAGGGGCTTTGTACGCAACGTCTCACGAGAACCCTAGGAATTGTTAGAATCCCCCATTTTACGGATGGAGAAACTGAGGCACAGAGCCACTAAGTCACTCGCTCTGGGTCACACAGCTCCTAAATGCCAGAGCCCGGAGTCCAGCCTCGTTCTCTCTGACTTCAGAGTCCCCTGCCTTTGCTTCCTCGTTTTACAAGAGGAGGGGCAGCTTGCCGAAGGTCACTTCGGGTAGCGCCCCCCCACAGTCTCTGTACCTCGGCTTCCGGGCTCACCAGGGCCTTGGCACCCATTCCAAGATGACACGAACGGACCTCTGAGCCGGGTGCCACTCCCCTGGGCATAAGCGCAACAGGAAAAGGGAGGCAGAGGCAAGGGCGTCATTTAGCTGCATACCTTCAAGGATTCCAGATTATTAAAGAGACTGACATATGCTCCGCAGCCCCCCATTCCAGCCCCGTCTTCCCTGTTGTCTAAGCCTCACGTGGACCACGGCCCGTCACCGTGACCCGGCTCCAAAAAAGGCAACAGGAGTAGCCACTGAAGTAGCAGAAAAAATAAACCATTTTACTACTAAAGATGCGTTTTCCAAAAGCAGGGGAGTTGCTGTCCCGAAGAGAAGAAGACCCTGGGGGAGTCCCTGCGGCAGGGGCCGGCTGGAGCTGCGGTCACCCAACCACCGGGCCGGCAGCCCTCAGCGGGCCCGAATTTGCAGGGAGATTCGGTAGAGCTCCATCGTCGCCCTGGCGTCTTCCACCGAGCTGTGTCCAAACTGGCTGTTCTGTAGACACATGGACAGAGCCGGGGGGGGGGGGGGGACTTGGGGTAGGGCTGAATGCAGAGACCCCCTGTGACCTGGGCCTTCCCCGCCAGCACCCCGGTTTCCCGGGCCCTGAGGGGGGTCGGTGGGTGAGCAGCCCCAGGCTTCTGACACCCTGGACTCCGCAGGCGGCTGGAGCAGGCCCGGCTTCTCCTGTCTGACCCAGAGCTGGGGCACTAGGCCCAGGCATGGCCAGGCACAGCTTCCAGCATCCGGAGAACCAGGCTGTGTCCTCGAGGTGCTTATAATCCGGTGAGGGGAGGAGGGGCTGCAGACACACAGACACAGAGGGAGCTCCAGGGGACCAGGCGAATATAAAAAAAATACTCCAGGGCACCTGGATGGCTCAGTTGGTTAAGCCCCGACTTCGGCTCAGGTCATGATCTCACAGTTCAGGGGGTTCGAGCCCCGTGTGCGGCTCCGTGCTGACAGCTTGGAGCCTGGAGCCTGCTTCTGATTCCGTGTCTCCCTCTGCCCCTCATGCTGTCTCTCTTTATCTCAAAAATAAATATATGTTAAAAAAATTTTGTTTTCAAATGCCAAAATGATGTTTCTAAATGCTACTTGCTCAGCACTTGGGTGAATCCACGTGCTGTGTATTCTGTCCTCCGTCCTGCGTGCCACAAGGCTAAGGGAGGGGTCCAAAATCAGGCTCATCCCCTGCTCCCTCCCCAGTTCCTGGTGCCCTCCCCTCCCCACCCTCCTCCACCAAGACTCGCCCTTCAGATTCCTGCAGACCTGCTTTCCTTCATCCCTCCAGGCTAATGGGCCACCCTCCCTCAACCCAGGAGTTCCTCAAGCACAAGGCCAGCCCTGCTCAGCCCTGCTCAGCCCTGCTCAGCCCTGCGTCTCCAGCATCCTGACCAGCCCGGCACAGAGTAGGTGCTAATAAATACCTCCCCCACGTGGACCCGTGGCTGCTGGTGTCGGGCCCACCTCCCTCGGCCCTGCCACCTCCGTGAGCCCCCAAGGACCCCCCCTTCTGGGCCTCGCCGGAGACTACGAGTGCCGAGAAATGGGGGCTCCGGGAGCAGCAGCTGCCCTGCCTGCTGGGAGCTGTGTGTAAATACCGCCGCTCCCTGGAAAAGATCTGAGGGCTGCGTTTTACCCAATTCCAGAGGCCCGCAGTGGGGTTACACGTCAGTTATCGGGGCGCCTGGGTGGCTCAGTTGGTTAAGCGTGGGCTCAGGTCAGGACCTCAAGGTTAGTGAGTTCGAGCCCCGCATTGGGCTCTCTGCTGTCAGCACGGAACCCGCTTGGGATCCTCTGTCCCTTACCCCTCTCTCTCTGCCCCTTCCCCGCTCACACTGGCTCTCTCTCAAACATAAATAAACATTAAAGAAAAAAACTTCAGTTATCCACAGAGTAACTGGCTGGAGTTTAAAAACAAACAAGACCTATATATTGGGCGCTGGGCTCCACCAGCACGTCCCGGGGTCACCTCTGGAATGAACCTGCGCTCGGGTCCTCGTCCAGGGCCGGCTGCTGGGGAACCCCGAGGCCAGCGCCCCCTCCTCGCTGGCAAGCACACGGCCTCTCAAGGCTGTGGGGGAGACGCAGAGCGCCTTCGGGGTCCAGGGCTGGTTCTGGAGCCCCTGGGGGTGGTGGGCGCGGGCCCTGGGGGGTGAGGGGGGCGCGGGCCCTGGGGGGAGGGGGCGGCCCCCCCCCCCCCCAAAGGAGGCAGGTGCTCACCTGGATGCGCCGGCCGAGGAGGCGCTCGCTGAGCACGCGGAGGGAGACGCGCTCGCAGTCCTGCAGGCCGGCCTCCCTCCACAGCAGCCTGTCCACCGACGTGTCATAAACGGAGTAGTCGCTCATGTTCTCCTTCAGCGCCTGGAAGTCGTGCTTCAGGTCGTGGCCCACCACCAGCTTGCCCTTCAGGAGCTGCAGGATCTGTGGCCAGGGAGACGTGCGCCCCGCACATCACACGGGGTCCTCCAGGTGGGTCTGGGCCGACTGGGGGTCCTCACAGTACCGGAGGGAAGCAGTCCCTCCTCGACTTGCTGTGTGGCTCTGAGCAAGCTGTCCTCCCTCTCTGGGCTTCAACCCTCTCTATCATCTGTATAATGAGGAGGCTGGACCGGGCCTCTCCTCATGCACGAGTAACGACAGTGGCACCTACTGAGCACGCCGTGTGCCAGGCACTTATCTAAGTATGTCACCTGTGCCACCCTGTCAACAAGCCTGCTGTGACAAGCGGATGAATGACTTCCCGAAGCTGCCCGCGCCTTAAACCCCAGAATCCGGAGCACCTTACACGCGGAGAGAAGTTAAAGCTGCAGGCGGGCTTTGGGGTGCAAGGTGAGAGGTGATCTGAGCTACCCGCATGGGCCCAACGGAATCGCAAGGGCCCTTCCAGGTGGGGGGCCCTAAGAACCTTTGCCCTGAGAACCTGACCTGCTCCTGCTGGCCTTGAAGGAGGAGGAGGGGGCCCCTGGGCCAAGGAACACCGGTGGGCGGCCATCGGAAGCCGGAAAAGGCGAGGAACGGCACTCCCCCGCAGAGCTTCCAGAAAGGAACGCAGCCCTCCCCACACTTCAATTTCAGCCTTTGAGACCCGGGTCAGACCGTGGAGCCGTGGAACCGAAGGATAACCCGTTCGTGTGGCTTTAAACCACTAAGCCTGTGGTTTTGTAGAAAGCAGCCGTAAAAAGCTAACGCAGCCCATGTTTTGCGGATGAGAACAAAAAAGTGGAAGCACTGAGAGTGAAATAATTTGCCCCAGGTTACTCTTCATGATCTTAAAGCAAGTTTGCGGATTCCTTGACTCCGGCTCACGCAAAAGATGGAGTTCAATTGAATTGAATATGGGCCGGCCCGTGTGACTTCTGACTTCTCTGAGGGCCAGTGTCCCAGCAGCCCGGAGCTGCCCCGAAGCCACCGTGCTGGAGGGACCACTGGAGGCAGAGAGCAGAGTCTGAGGGGCCCCGGTGCCAGCCACGGGATGGGTAGGCAAGCCAACCTCCCGAGGTTCCAGCTCTGGGCCTGCCAGGTGCCTCTGCCTCAGACCAACGGCTGTCCCCATCCGCCCCTGACCAGACTGCAGGTGCAGGAGCAAAGTAAATATTGACATTGTTTGAACCACTATGTTTGGAGGCGATTTGCTAAGCACCATTAGATAACTGGGGTGGCCACACAGCTGGTTAGTGGCAGGGCCAGCCTTCAGAGCCAGCGGACCGCCCGTCACGAGCACACTTAGGAAGAGCAGGCCTGCTCCTGGCGTCCACCAGCCCAGGGGCCGAGCTTCGGGGAGTAACCGCTAAAGTACCCAAGCCTCCCATCTGGACTCCGTCTCCACTCCCCTCCCATGGTGGCCCTGGGGACAGCCTCCTACCTACGGCCACACAGGCTCCCCTTTCTTTACCTGGGCTGCCACTGGAGAAGGATGGATGGGGGCTCTGGGGCGGAGCTGTGTCGGGCCCCAGCTGGAGGGGCATCTTGGAGCTCAGGCCCCCCTCTGGACAGCTCTCCCATAACTTCTGGCCTGTCTTCTGTGCCTGGGGAAGGAGACTGCCACCTGGCTGACACCCTCCCGTGCCCTGCTTCTGTTTCCGGTGGCCTTCTGAGACATCATGGGGGACATTGGTATGCTCTCCCTTGGCGACCACAGGATCATTGGGGCCACTCTGCAGAAGAGGAAGCCAAGGCTCAGAGAGATGAGGCGACTTGTCCCTGGCCACAGTGGTGGAAGCAGGGCTCCATCCATCTACCGTCAACAGGCAACATCACCCCACCCTGTTCACACGGCTTTGTCAGGGCCTCCTCTGGACGGAGCCCAGGCCTAGGGCCTGGGGAAGCTCTCCTGAGGAATGGACCGTGCTGGTTCCAGTGGACGTTTGGGGTGGGAGTCACCTGGTGAACCCAGAACTCTGGATTTCACTTTTTTTTCAATGTTTATTTATTTATCTTTGAGAGAGAGTGAGCAAGAGAGTGGGGGAGGGACAGAGAGAAAGGAAGACAGACAATCCCAAGCAGGCTCCGCACCCAGCTCAAGAGCTGGCCGCGGGGCTCAGCCCCACGAACCGTGAGATCATGACCTGAGCCGAAATCAGCAGTTGGACGCTTAAGCCCCTGAGCTGCCCGGGCGCCCCTGGATCTCACATCTCTAACAGGTGGGGCTGGTGTTGCTGATCTAGAGGTCACCTGAGCGGTGAGGACACCGGCCCTCACCAGCAGCTCAGTCCTACTGTGGAGGGAAGGGCCCCGCCGGCCTGTGGCAGAGGGGTGGCGCTCACAGGCCCCGCAGGGCAGCTGTGGGTCACACACCTTTTCTCGCTCACATTCTTTGTGTTCCCGAACAATGTGGCCTGTTTCCCCCAACGAGGAGCTGGCTCAGGCCCAGTTCACACAAAGCCCTGAGGGACTGTCTGCCATCCCAGAAACTGCTGCACTGTTCCCAGGCGGAAGAGGACAAGAATCATCGTGAGGTAGATTCCGGAGAAATTAATCACTTCCTGAGCCCCAGGGTCCTGGCAGGGGGTGGCTACAGTCAGCACCGCTGGGCTCATGAGGAGACAAATAAAATGGGGGGGGGGGGGGGGTAGACAAGCAGAAGGAATCAGGAAAAAAAGAGATGAGTCTATTTAGCAGAGAGATGTCAGCAATGTTTCAGGCCAAAAACATGCTGGGCACTGGGCACTGGGCAGAGAGGGACTGCTGGGACTTGCTGTGTGCTCTCATGGAGGTCACAGGCCATCTCTGGGCTTTGGTTTCCCCATTTGTAAGGCAAAGGCCTGGAGAGGTGAGGCCCATTAGCAGCCAGGGCTCCCCCGACTTTCTGAGACAGGGCCGGGGAGGGAAGAGGGGGGCCTGTCGGAGCCAGGGATGGGGAGAAGGTGCCAGCTGGCAGGACCTCAGGGCTTTGTGACCTGCTGGCCGCGGGACC